AAAAAAAAAAAAAAAAAACTCCCATGGGTTCTAACAAGATGAGCACAAAATATGAACCCTATAACTCTACACAAATATTCTCATCACAGCAAGAAGAACACCATCATCATCATAATCAAAATCAAAATCAAACCTTTCATGACCTTATATTATCTTTCTCATCATCTCCATCAGTTGCCCATGGAAGCTTCAACACCATGTAAGCTCACCTATATCTTAATTTTTTAGAGCTCAATTTTATTTTTTTATTTTTATTTATTTTTGGGAAAGTTTTAACTTAATTTTTTTTTGAGCTAATATATATATATATATATATATATATATATATATATATATTGTTTGCTTAATTAGATCAAACAAAGATGGAGGTGCTTATGATCTTGGTGAGTTAGATCAAGCTCTTTTTCTGTACTTGGAAGGTCAAGACCAGTCAACTCAAGATCAAAGAGGTAACTAATTTTGATTATTAATTATGATCACATAATTATTGTTTAATTTCTTTTATCTTTCTAATTAAGTTCAGGTTTATTCAGTTAATTAGCTAGCTACCTCACCATCTAAAATAGCTATACAAATTTCAAGATTGTACATATATAAGTATACATACATCTTATTTAGTAGTATTTAATTTATATTTTGAATTTAGTGCTGGAAAATTAGGAATAATAACTTTTCAAAATATTTGAGATTCTCTGTAGGGATTCTTGATTTTCTTTTTTCTTTTTGGTTTATAGAAAAAACAAGAGTCATGAGGAAAGTATGCTTTGGGGGAGATAAAAATCAGAGATTGTACTTTGTTTGACCTGATCCTCACATCAGTAAAAAAAGATTTTTTTTTTTTTTACTTTTATTTTAATTGCAAGGATTAAAACACACACACACACACACACACACACACACACACACACACACATATATATATATAAATAAATATATTATTTTCATCTGTAGTACTCCTTTTTTCCCTCTGTAACAAAAAAAATGGATTTTTGTGTTATATGTAAATTTTGGACAGACATGTAACAAACTTCCCATTGACATGAAAGTCTTGCAAAGTTCCTTTTTTCTTCTCTCTCTCTCTCTCTCTCTCTCTCTCTCTCTCTCTCTCTCTCTCTCTCTCTCTCTCTCTCTCTCTCTCTCTCTCTCTCTCTAAAGCACAAGCTTTAAAATGAATGGTTTTGTGCTGTGAGAAAATGAAAAAATTAATAAAAATTATATGTAAAAAATTCTTTATTTAATTTAATAAAATTTCCTTATATTTTTTTTAACATTTTCTATGTTATTTAATTTGTTCAGAGAATTTGGGTGGTATGATGAGGCCACAACACACACTCAACATCTTCCCTTCTGAGCCCATGCATGTTGTTGTTGAGCCATCATCAAAGGTACAATTAATTAATCTTTAATTAATTAACCAAAAATAAACAAAAATCAAAGTTTTTAATTTTAATCCTTGATATTTAATTTAGAATATGATGTATTATTGATATCATGAAGTTATGATTTTTGAAAGCTATACAGCTAGTGGGTTTGTTAATTTAATTATATATATATGTCCATGTTTTGGTAGGCAAATACTACTGGATTAGTTTGCTCCAAGGGACAATCCGAGCCGTCCATGGGTTTATCAAACCCTAGATCCAACGGCATTAATAGTGCTTCTCTTCCTGACCAAGCCAAAGCAGTTAAGGTCACCATTATATATAATACAAAACTGCTATTACACTTTATTAATTAACATAATTAGCAATTTATTAAATTTGTACGTACGTTCAAAATATATTGGAGATAATATTTATATGTGGTAATTAAATTAATTGGTGATTTTATTAATTTTTTTTTATATTTCTTTTATTTTGCAATATGAATGGCAGGGAAATAGAAAAGGGCCAACAACCTCAAGTTCAGAACAAGATGGACCAAAAACACCAGACCCTAAGGTTTATTTATTTATTTATTTATTATATTTTTTTTTATTTGATTTTGAAACGCCCTTACATATATAATTACAAAGTTGATTATATTTTACTAATTATGTTCTTAGACATTGAGGAGGCTTGCTCAGAATAGAGAGGCAGCTAAGAAAAGCAGGCTTAGGAAAAAGGTAAGTGTATGCTTTATTTTAATTAATTTCCCATAAAATTTGTGTAACAATAATGTGATCAATTTCATGCTAATTAAATTACAGTATTCCTTTATTATTGATTGATTAGTTCAAATAATGGTATATTTGGACTTTGCAGGCTTATGTTCAGCAGCTAGAATCGAGTCGATTGAGGCTGGCTCAGTTGGAGCAGGAGATACAAAGAGCAAGATCCCAGGTTAACCGTTTAACCAGTCGATTTTAACAAACAATAATAATATGCTATGAAATGTTGTACGTTTGCATATATTATTTTCTAGAGTATGACATTTCAATTTATTAATTTTCCGTTAATTAATATAAAAAAAAAAAAAAAAAAAAAAACTCACTACTACAATTACTCTGCACCTTATAATTTTCTTGCTAGGGATTTTATCTTGGAGTAGCTGGAGATCACAGTGCTCCTTTGGCTATGGGCAACCTAACTTCAGGTAAATAAATTTCATAGCTTTTTTTTATTTTAATACAAATAATCAAATAGTTTTATCAACATTCATCTTTTGTCTTTTGAAACTACAAATTCCCACTATAATTCTATGTAAATATAACATGCATACATATAAATTAATTTAAATAGGAATCTTTTAAGTATATTATATATTAATTTCTATGTACACTAACACACACACACACACACACACTTTCTAATGATCAAATTTTCAATAGCTCGCCTTCTAATTAAACTTATAAATAGGTTTAATTAATATAATAATGACGACTTAATTCATGTGTCCACCAACCAGATGCCGCTTTGTTTGACATGGAGTATGCCCGGTGGCTAGAGGAGAACCACCGGCTGATGGCGGAGCTCCGGCGAGCGGTGCAAGAACACCTGCAGGAAAACGAGCTTCGTGTTCTAGTGGACCACTTGCTGGCCCAATACGAACAAGTGATGGCCCTCAAGAGCATGATCGCAAAATCCGACATCTTCCACTTGTTTTCCGGCATGTGGAAAACTCCGGCCGAGCGGTGCTTCATGTGGATCGGCGGTTTCCGGCCATCCGAGATCATTAAGGTTCGATGTAATCCAAAAAAAA